AGTCACAAGCAGAGAAGAACCTGGGAGGTACTAACAGACAACCTGGGAGGAACTAACAGACAACAGACAACCTGGGAGGAACTAACAGACAACCTGGGAGGTACTAACAGACAACCTGTGTGACACAACACAAGTCACAAGCAGAGAAGAACCTGGGAGGAACTAACAGACAACCTGGGAGGTACTAACAGACAACCTGTGTGACACAACACCCTCTCTTTTATAAAACACTTTCTCTGTTATAAGTTTCACATTTTTCTTCTGAGTAGTCTTTCGCAATATTTAGTAGTTTAATGAAAGAGTTCCAACCCGTGGTTACAAAAGTTACGCCATTGGCTTAAGCATTTGCTCCCGTATAGAACAGCCAACTTTACTCTTACGACATCTTACTAGCAATTCATCAAGATCTAATAGTATAAAAGTTATAATTATAGCACGGCGTTCATGAGTTAACAGGTTTAACCACAGAGGCCATAGGCCGAGATGTTGAACCTGTTAACGAATGAAGCGTGCTATAAATGACATGTAACATTGACACCTGCTCAACATGCTCGTTGGTATTGCACAGAAAACCACCCACTTCTCTATATGATTGCTACTATACAACCGCCGTAACCCTGGTTATTGTACGGTTAAGCTCCACCCAATCTGCGTATTCAAGGAAAAGAAAAAAAGGAAGACTTCCCGTTCATTTTATAAATAAGCGAATATTTAATGAATTAAGTGAATAGAAGACATGTCTTTAAATGGCATTTAAAATAGGCGCCTTCTCGGTATTTCTAATTTTTACAGCCGAATAAAAACTACGCCGGAAATAAAGGATAATCAAGTCGCATTATCCCTATTTTTTGGCGTTCGTCGTTCGCCATTTCGAGAGAATCACAGACACCGTGAATTGTCCCATCTATGATAAAAAAAAAACTAATGAAAGTCGGAGACAGACAGAGGAATGGGGTTTAACGTCCACTCGACACCAACTACATCATTTCGTGACTAACATTGCTCAATTTTATTTAAATAATTAACAGTGCGAGGAAACCAGAGGACCCGGAGAAAACCCACGAGATTACCCAGACAGACCCTACCCGTAAGTCGGCAGTACGAAACACAACCTTATGACGACCTAATAATATCCCATCCTAAAACTTTCTAATGATACTGCTTCAAAAGATTCCACGATAATTGTCAGATCTTTTTTTCTGTTTTATTGTGTATTATTACTGACACGACAAACCAAGATTACCATCGACTACAGCTGGTGTTAAAAGAAGAGAAAGAGAGAGAGAGAGAGAGAGAGAGAGATGGGGTTTATCGTTCACTCGACACAAACTAGGTCATTTCGGGACAAATATATCGTTTAATTTTTTATTTCAATTTTTTATTTCAATAATGCGCTTGCGCGTAGGGGTCTTTAGCAGTGGGGGGAACCGGAGAAAACCCACGAGGATGGACAGGCGACCCTACTTCTTGTCACGTACAACCGGGGATTCGAAACCACGCCAGTTGACTCAATAACAGGCCTTATGATACAGCGCGCACGTGCTAACCATTCAGCCATCCAACCTCCCAAAATGGTGTTAAACCTGTTAACGAATGAATATGTATCTCACATATTTAAAACCACTTTAGTGAATGAATATTCTACCCACAATAAATTATGTAAATAGACGCGTGACTGTATGTATAGTAATTAATATGTATATGCTCATTTATAAGCCGAGAAAAGATTATTATCAACTGTATAATACATAGTTATAGATCGACTATTACCAACTCGGCCACCAACCGAGAGAGCGAGAGAGAGAGACAGAGAGCACTCTATAAAAACAAGGACTAACATATGGTTCAATTAAATTTGTATTAATTCCCTTTTGCTTAAGGTTTTTAGCAGTGGGAGGAAACTGAATGACCCGGAGAAAACCCACGAGGTTGGACAGGCGACACTACTCCTTGTGACATACAAGCTGGGAATCGAAATCACGCCACTTGATTTAATGACAGACCGTATTATGCAACGCGCATGCGTTAACCAATCGGCCACTTTACCCATGGTTCAATTTTATTACAATAATTCGTTTGCGCGTACATGTCGTTATCAGTGGACGGAAACTGGAGGACCTGGAGAAAACCTACGAGGCTGGACAGGCGACCCTACTCCTTGTCACGTACAACCGGGGAATCGAAACCACGCCAGTTGATTCAATGATAGACCGTATGATACAGTGCGCACGTGCTAACTATTCAGCTAACTATAACAAAAAAGGAAAATTTAAATTCTGCACCTATGTATATGGATTAGTATAGTGCGTTTTAATTATAACCACACAATTTTATTTCGTTTGAAGTTACATGGATAACTAGACGATTCATTAACAATATTGACAAGATTACCACCTGTATTACAGGTTACAAGACTACAAGAGTTATGCCCCTTACATGCGTTTGGCTGTTCAGAACCAAACAGAAAAGAAACTATCAACATGGACACCCTCGTCACACACACTGCCCCAGGAAGACATGCTCGTATTAAAATAATTTCTACATTTTGGGATAGAAAAATGAAATGAAATAGGGTTTAACGTCCTACTGCTCTGTTCCGACTGGGCTAATGAAGACGTGCATACAATGTGCTATGAGGGATTTTTTGCCAGGACAGCGGAACAATGGCCTACTCTTATATCGAATTCTAACTGACAAGGGGTCTTTTGCGTGCACGACAATGTGTACACGTGACCTCGGCGTTTCGTCGCGTCGGAACGACTAGACAGCTGTCCTTGTTAGGCCCTCAGCCACGCATCACTGACAAGGGGAAACCACGTGGGAAACTCCCTATTAACATTTTTGGCCAATACCGGGAGCGAACCCACAACCTCCAGGCTAGCGAGCCAACTTCAGACCCACTGAGTCTTAAAGCAATATTAACAGATGTTTCATCGAAATAGTCAACGCTCATCCAGTTTGAATGGCTCGCGATATGATTATCCAGACTCAAAACTTCATGACAAATAACTTTGCGGGCCACATAATGTCGGAGGAGTATACAATTTAAAACAAAAATATCCAAGAATTGGGATTGACGCACTGGGGCGTATTTAATATACAGCGTTAAAATAAGTGTTGAAAATATGGAAACATTGTGTTAAAAATATTGACTAAAACTTGTTGAAAATATTGGAACTGTGTCGAAAATTTGGAAACAGGGTTAAAAATGCACTGGGTTATTTCAGCTTCATTTTTTTTTATTTAAATACAAAATCAGGTGGATCTTGATATCAAAAGTTATATGAAATTTAATTAAATCTACACTAATTATGTTATTTTGTCGACTGAAATTATCCACCAAATACTTGATTATAACCCCTCTAACGTTGCAAGTCCTTATATTAAAGTTACAATTTCATATTTTCTAAGAAAGTCAAAACATAATTATTTCTATGTCTTTTGCTCAATAGGTTGTCAACTCACTATTATACGATCATAGGTGTCATTCTCACACTTAAAACGCATTTACACCGGAAATAATAACACAATTACCTCCCAATTACCCCCTTGTTTTCTATTATCCATCATGGAGTAGTTATCTTCAAACGTTGGAATTTGAAGATGAAAATGATATTTTTGCCAATTTCTCAACTGGCAATAGTGAATTATAGGATTAATAGGATTATTCTTTAACAAGGTAGGACTGTTTATAGATACCATCTATTTTAAGGCTTTATTTTAATAAATTTTAAAAATATAACTTAAAAATATGAAATTGCAACATTAATTATTTGCCCAACCGGGTTTATATTATACTAGACGGCTTATTATTAAAAGAGACAGGTTATTATTAAAAAGGAGACAGGTTATTATTAAAGGAGACATGTCACCTTAAAGGAGACAGGTTATTATTAAAGGAGACAGGTTTTATTAAAAGATTTAATTGTATATATATGTAGCATTTTAATTTTTATGGTTTAAATATTTTTATTCATTTAATATTGTGATATTTGTTTATTAAGCATATAAATATGTGTTTCTGATACGACGAAGCCTGATTTGGGCCAACAACAATACCATAGATTTTTGTGAAATGTAAACGAACTTTCACCAGTGGTTTTAGAGTGGCCCTAATATGAGTTATTATTTGGAAATATACCTTTAAGCTTGAAGTAACTTCCTAACAACACTTTGCCTTCGATATTTTGGCCTTGTAAGATATTTGTAAATGGGGTTAAAGTTTCAAGATTCTTGCACTCATTGGAATAAATTTCAGATATTTTTCTTATGATCCATCTTTCATCTTTGTCAATCTTGAGATTTATTCCTCAGCACCGCCTTAGTCTTCCTCTTTATTTTGCACCTCTTGTTATCTTGAAGGATGTTTTTGTAAAATGAAATGGGGTTTAACGTCCAACTGTTCTGCTCCTATACTGAGCTAATAAAGACGGGCATACGCCATACAGTGGGCTATGATTAAAACTTTGCCCGGGCAGCGGCACTATGGCCTACTCTTATATTGAATTCCAACTGCCAAGGGATCTTTTACGCGCACGCCAATGTATACACGGGACCTCGGTTTTTCATCCTATCCTGTACCACTGACAGGGGGGGGGGGGGGCACGTCAGAAAATCACGATGAACGTTCTCGGCCAATGCAGGTTCCGAATACGCGACCTCCAGGCTAGCGAGTCAGCTCTTAACCACTTAGCCACCTTGGCTCCCTATAGATGTTTTTGTAAGTTTATGTAACCTTTTGTCCAATCGTTTAAATATGTTTTAAACCAAACTCCATTTATAATATCTCTGATCTAGCCTACAGAGAAATTTTCTGTTTCTAAATTCACCTGTTGATTGATAGAACACACCTATTATATATCGTGTTATTTATTGATTTTAATGTATACCATATTATTATCATATTATACAGGTGAGAAAAAACACGCCTAGAATTTATTTTATTGATAAATTTACGTCGATTATTCATGTATCGATCCAATGATCTAACTTTGAATAATTTCGTTTTCCAGTTCAACTGTAAATGTGGCGACCGTCTCCCATCTTATAAAGTAAGTTCTCATAATTTTATTAATCTAATTTCAATGAACCGAATTAAAATCTTGTAATCAACCAGCTACCCAGTTGGTTCTATATTATAAAACTCTAGAATTTTTAAAAGAGACAAATTATTATTGAAAGTTTTAGTTGTTGTATCTGATTTTCTATTTCACGTTTTAAATAGATATATACATCAAGTTCGTGATATTTATTTTTATTTGATATTTACTGTGATATTGTTTTTATTTATTCATCAATATATATTGTTTCTAGTTCGTCTCGAGTAACATCATCATATGTTTGGTGCAATATAGCCCGACTGGAGCTGACGTGCCATTAAACAATATTTCATTTATTTATCACCCATGTAAAGTTTAGAAATTATACTAATTTACATGATTGTTTTCATGGGATAAAAGGGGCGGACAAGAGCTTTTTTTAGTCAGTAGCGCAAAAAGTGACCAAGAAGGACAATATTTTTTACAGACATGCATATTCTACACGCCATATCAATACTTTATTTATACAGAGCTTTTAAACATACATTATGCAAGAGTTAAATTTGCCTATTGCAGGTCTTTCTTTAGGCCTGAAATGTTATCTAAATTAATAATTAGACATTAACTTATCCAGACCATAATCAACTCTCCATGACGTTGGATACTCGAGATTTTAACTAGATTAGACGGATTCGCCATTTAAAAATTCAATTTAAAAATGTGAAAGCGAAGCTAAGTCTCGAATATCTTAACTAATTTATCTTTAAGTAAATTTTGTGCCTGTTTTTACTGGTTACAACGGGTTTTCAAATTATGTGATTTGATAATACATTTGGACTAAAACCATATTCAGATTTATTTATCTATCAAAAGTTCGCTTCACCTCAAGATATCTCAATCCGCAGAAAATAGTCAAAACAGTAAAAAAAATAACACCCCCCCCCCCCAAAAAAAAAAATCAATTTGGGTAGCCGTAGTGTGTCACGTGACTGGATTGAGGGAGAATCCATTGTACAATTGTGGTTATTCACTGTCTATTTGTGATACATATCGAATCACTAAATTTTTCCTCTGCCAACGTCTCCCTCCACTATGTAATCACAGGCTGTGCTGTACGTTTACGTCTCACAACGAAGCCGCCCAGGACTGTAACTAGCCCCCCCCCCCACTGCCAAAAGTTTCGTGATCCCGTGAAAAAATTGTCGACCATACATATACACTGTTCGTCAAATTAACCACACCCCTGAGAACACTCCCCCCCCCCTCGTTGCTCTGAGCTAGTTACGGCCCTGAAACCGCCAGGTTGCCAGTGAGTGATGCCCTTACATTTTTGTCCTGTGAGTATCCCATGAATGTTTTTCAGGAAATCCCGTATTGTTTGGTCGGATATCGGCTAAATATATTTCTTAAGGCCAGCTCAATTTTCGGCAAGGTCTCTGAGATGTAAATAACGTTAGGGCACGTGATTGATGGCGAGATTGTAGGCTAAGGTTAGGGTAAACATTGGGGCTAGGTCAAGGGTTAGGGTTGGAATTAGCGCTAAACCTGTTTACATCTCGTGACCTTCGACCAAGCTTGAAGTTGGCCTTATCAAATAGACCTAACCGTCGGATATCTCTCAAAGGTTTACACAAAATCTAAACTACACACCGACGGCCAATCACTTCTATAATTGAAGTCCGTTTGTTCGGTGGCTCTGTAACATCTTTTTGCCTGGTAATTAGCCCCAGGAAAAATACAAACACGTCGTACTGGATCAAACAACCATTTCATCCATACGATATGCATACGGAGTTGAATGTCAGAATTGAATCAGAATTAAATTGCAAATGGAAAAAACAAAAAAGAAAAGAAAAGGAAAAATATATCCATTGTCTTGTAAAAGAAAAGCCAAAATAGAACATTCGTCTTTGTTTTCAGATGATGCGTGACACGACCGCCATCTTGATATTGGTGCTGTTGTCTTTATGTGGAACAACTTCCGGAAAACAAATACCACAGAATAATGATTATACACCCGTAACAGGCAAGTGTATTACCACACAATTGTTTTTTTTATTTATTTAATAACTTTTTGTACCTCTAACTCGATATTATCCATATTATTCGAAATTAAAACCACGAATTATTTCAATCTATATTAATTTATTTTATCTTTACATGAAATTATGGAATCCTAATATGGGATCCTAATATGCAATATTTAAGACACAATGAACATTTTAAAATCAGTACATGACGGCGTCTACTCTATGGGTTTGAGTATCATTTGTAATAAACAAAGAAAAACATCCAACAAGACGTTGCGGAAGTAATAACAAATGTCCGATTGACAAACGACAAAATGATATTAAAAAAACCCCAAAAAACGTGTAAAATGGACTAAGAAGATGCAAAGTACTAACGTGCGTTCAATTTGGACTGCTCGCGCATTTCATCGAGCCTAATTATAATAATGTTTTTAATATTTGAATATAAGTCACTTTCTATACACTCATATTACATTGATGTGTGGCTTTAAACCTATATTACTCTATTTTAATTTCCAAAAAAATAGAGATTTAGCTCCTTTAAGATTATTGTAACGGGTAATATTGTATTTGTCATGTATAATATTGTAATATCTATGCATTGTTACGTGTAATATTGTAGTAACTTCACAAGATGTACGATGACGTATTCGTTGTTATATATAGTATACCATATTATCATACATGTCTGCTCGTGTTAATGTTCTACTGTTATCTATTTATAGCATGGATGGAATGGTCGTTTGATCCAATACGACGTGTTTGTATTTTTCATGGTACTAATTACCAGGAATATAGATATGGTGAAATATTCACCAGACCGGATTCAGGCAAATGTTTCAGCTTTAGATGCTCGTATACAGGAATCACTATTCTTAAAGCAATCATGGGTAAAGTATACAAATACTATAACAAATATAAGACGATACTCCATTCTACAAATGTAATCGATTAAATTACAATTATTTTCATAGTATTACAATTACATTATGATTACAGATATGTGTTAATGCAATCGATTAGATTACAATTACTCTTGCAATGTAATCGATTAGATTACAATTACTCTTGTCATGTATTCGATTAAATAACAATTACTCTTTAAATGTAATCGATTAAATTATACTTACGTTTGCAATGTAATCGAATAAATTACACTTATTTTTGCGACGTAATCGATTAAATGAAACTTACTTTTGAAATGTAATCGATTAAATTAAACTTCCTTTTGAACTATAATCGATTAAATTACACTTACTTTTGCAATGTGACCCATTAAATTACAATTATTCTTGGAAAGTAATCGATTAAATTGCACTTACTTTTGCAATGTAATCGATTAAATTAAACTTACTTTTGCAGTGTGATGGATAAAAGTACTGATTACTTCTAAAATAATATTTAAGACATGAATAACTCTTATAAGATATGATAAACTATATAACATATTAAAACATATACAAACTATAACATATCACTTATGTGCGATTGTTTGTGATTTCTGCCTATTGTGTCTTGTCCGTAGATTTGTTTTGTGTAATTGTATGTGATGTAGCCCCCGTGCACTTACTATTAGAGTTCTATGCTAGGGGAGAACTGTTAGTGGATGACTTCAGTCTAGTCTGTTGACATAAATTAATGATTTCTACTTGGAAACTGGTAGTGTGTAACTAAGGTACTGCCAAAATCATACTGGTCTGCACAGACTTGGTTATTAAAGACGAACATAACCCAAACTTTGTGCTATAAGGGGAAATTTGCCCGGACAGCGGCACTACGACCTACTCTGATTTGGGATTCCACCTATCAAGTTTTTATTTTAGGTGCAGGCCAATGTGTACAAGGGATCTTGGTTTAAAACACCACTCGAACGACGAGACGTTATCCATTTCGGGCCCTCTGTCTTGCGCCACTAACAAGTGGAACCACGCCGGAAAATATCTGCTTCCACCGAGATCGAACACTGGATCTCCAGGTTAACAAGCCCACGTGTTACTCATTGTCTAGCGGCAACTCCTCGACAATTTTAATGCAAGACCAATGTGATTAAAATACAGAACTATATTTCGTTTCGTTTTTTTAATACTTTCGATGACCTCAACTACATTAAGATCTGACCGGTTGTAGTGGAAGGTCGTGTCAGGGGTCACACGAGCGGCTTTTAACCCTATGACGCCAACCACTTGATCAACTAATCAGCGTTGATGTTTCTAGCAGAATACCCACAGTTCCATAACAGACCGTTTCATTGGCTAATCCCACACATCAACCAAAACGCCGGTTATATAACAACTCTTTCAACAGCTCCTAGTGTAGTAAAGACAAGTAAAACGAAATTGCGAACTATAAAAAAAACGAAACGAAATAGGATCTGTGTTTTAATCCTGTGATGTTTTTTGAACAGGGTGCGAGTATGGTGACCAATGTATACTAAAGAATGGCTTTATACAAGAGGGCTGTCTTAACTACACTTGTGGGGTCATAGCGAATTTTAGACAAGGAAAATATATCAGAGCGAAGAGTATGTTTCATTTGGTAAATGACGGTAAGACACTGTTTAGTTATATTTTCAGTTAAAGATGCATTATGTCAGATTTAGATGAAGAGCCGACCGTTCTTACTATAATGTTTTAGACATAGATAATGCAAAATGAATATAGTAAAAATCGAAATTTTGGATGTTTGAAGTTTGGATAAATAGTTTCGATTGTCAAGTATAATAAACAAAGTCTCAATTTTCCATTTTAACGTTTAACGAAGATATGGTTTAATAATGTATTTATATATGACAGGATGCTTGAAGAATGGGGAATGTGTTCCATTAGGTAAAACTATTTTAGTCGACAGTACGTGTGGAGCTCAGGTATGCAGTAAGACCCTAACCGGAAGTTCAGCAAATTATTTTTTCATTCCTAGTAACGAGGGTAAGTATACTACCCCACGTAATTTCTGTACAAATTAATATATATTTTATTAATTTTTTTTCCAAAAACCAACAACATCTTATTCAAAAATTGAAAGGGATTGGGGAACAGGCCTATATATTACGGTATATTATATTACAGTAGAGTACAGTATCCTATATATTACAGTAAATTATATATTATATGATAGACTACAGTAAATTACTGTATATTATATATTACAGTATATGATACATTAGATTGTAGTATATTACAGTATATTATATATTACAATATATGATAGATTACAGTAGATTACAGTATATTACATATTACGGTATATGATAGATTACAGTAGATTACATGTTACAGTAAATTAAATATTATATGATAGACTACAGTAAATTACTGTATATTATATATTACAATATATGATAGACTACAGTAAATTACATATTACAATATAGGATAAATTACATTATATTATATATTACAATATAGGATAGATTACAGTATATTACATATTACATTATATGATAGATTACAGTAGATTACAGTATATTATATATTACAATATAGGATAGATTACAGTATATTACATATTACAATATAGGATAGATTACAGTATATTATATATTACAATATAAAATAGATTACAGTATATTACATATTACATTATATGATAGATTACAGTAGATTACAGTAGATTACAGTATATTATATATTACAATATAGGATAGATTACAGTATATTACATATTACAATATAGGATAGATTACAGTATATTACATATTACAATATAGGATAGATTACAGTAGATTACAGTATATTACATATTACAATATAGGATAGATTGCAGTATATTACATATTACATTATATGATAGATTACAGTAGATTACATAGTACAGTATATGATAGATTACAGTATATTACATATTACATTATATGATAGATTACAGTAGATTACAGTAGATTACAGTATATTATATATTACAATATAGGATAGATTACAGTATATTACATATTACAATATAGGATAGATTACAGTATATTACATATTACAATATAGGATAAATTACAGTGGATAGATTACAGTATATTACATATTACATTATATGATAGATTACAGTAGATTACATAGTACAGTATATGATAGATTACAGTATATTATATATTACAATATATTATATATTACAGTAGATTACAGTATATTAGATAGTACAGTATATGATAGATTACAGTATATTATATATTACAATATATTATATATTACAGTAGATTACAGTATATTACATAGTACAGTATATGATAGATTACAGTATATGACATATTACAATATATGATAGATTGCAGTATATTACATATTACAGTATATATTACTGTTCATATTTTATATAATATTAACGTATATTGTACAGTTATTTAGTATATTATATTATCTATTACAGTATGTTATGATACTGAGGGTTGTTATGCAGAGGGACATATTAAAGAAACTGGTTCATGTCAAGGTTTAAGGTGTATGAAAACAACTAATATGACATTCGAACCACGAACGGCAGGTAATCAATCACCACGTTGTTTAAAACATATCTTCTAAATTGAACTGGAATACACAGATCACGATTCCATGGAACACTATTACTGTTTATTACTGAGCGACGTTTCCACTAGGCTTCTCTAGAAATGAAATGAAATGAAATGGGGTTTAACGTCCTACTGTTCTACTCCTAACCTGGGCTAATGAAGATGGGCATATGCCATACAGTGTGCTATGAGGGAAATTTTGCCCGGGCAGCGGGCTACGGCCTACTCTTATATCGAATTCAAACTGCCAAGGGATCTTTTACGTGAACACCAATGTGTACACGGGACCCCGATTTTTCGTCCCATCCGAAAAAATTCCCTCATAGCACACTGTATGGCGTATGTCCGTCTTCATTAGCCCAGTTTAGGAGCAGAACAGTAGGACGTTAAACCCCATTTCATTTCATTTCTCAATTGGGATAGCGTGGTTTTTCGCACTTTCTTAGTATGCTGACACACTTAGGAATATCTCGTGACATACAGACACACTGGTTGGGAATAACTGTTCTAGCCTGTCATATCATGATTCTTGACTGAAAGAAATTTAGTCAAATGTATATTCTGTTCTAGTGGTATGCTTTCTTCAATTTTTAAAATGGCATTTAAATGTTAAGTATTATATGGTCTGTGTTTTTAATGTTCAAGTTTGAAAACGAGCTGTTGTTAATCTTTATTTGTTGTTGATGAATTTTAGGGTGTTTAGCTGATGGCCAATGTTTTCCCGAGAAGGGTTTTAGAGACACTATAACTGGTACAACATGCACTACAGAACAATGCCAACTTGGTTTAGATTTCAACCATAGACTCGTTACAACCAAAATACGTAAGTCAACATAGTCTTGATTGTCAAGTAACATTGATACGATAACACAGTCTCGGTTATCTAACTTAACGTTAGAGTATTAAATGACGCCGGTGTTCTACTCAATTCAATATCACGGACATCCGATAATCTAGAGAGTTAATTATCTGCTGTTCCTATCAATAAATGCCTAAATATCAAATGTCTGTAATAGGTATATGTGCCTCTTACATGATATATATTGGCAGGATGTGATGTATTTACAGGATGTGATTTAATGATATATATTTACAGGGTGTGATGTAATGATATATATTTACAGGATGTGATGTAATGATATATATTTACAGGATGTGGTGTAATGATATATATTTACAGGATGTGATGTAATGATATGTATTTACAGGATGTGATGTAATGATATATATTTACAGGATGTGATGTAATGATATATATTTACAGGATGTGGTGTAATGATATATATTTACAGGATGTGATGTAATGATATGTATTTACAGGATGTGATGTAATGATATGTATTTACAGAATGTGATGTAATGATATGTATTTACAGGATGTGATGTAATGATATTTATTTACAGGGTGTTACGATGACGTACGAAAGAGATGTTTTAATTATAATATTCTCAAACGTGACCGGGAAAACTGTCGGGATTTTATATGTGAGATAAAAAATGGCGCCGGTGTCTGGACAAAACTTGATGCAGGTAAAAACAAATACACTAAATTATATGATTTGTAGGTTTACCGTCCTACTGTACTGCACGGGCACTACGGTGTGTGGAGTGGTCGTCTTCCACATATTATTAGAAATCAGGTCCAGTCGATGAAAATTAATTTTCTGACAGTATTCAGAAAAACTACCAGTGGTTTATGGGTTGCCTTTCCAGCCTTGTGATTTTTTTTGTTCACCCCAACTGAATCATACGTTAGTACTGAAATGACTAGGCCCCCCCTCTTGGCATATAATGTCATGTGCTGTTCCGGTTGTTTATATTGGGGTTGCCTGTCCAACCTCGTGGGTTTTCTCCAGGTCCTCCGGTTTCCCCCCACTGCTAAAGTCCCTTACGCGCAAGCGAATGATTGAAATAAGATTGAACCATGTGTTAGTTCCGAAATGACCTAGTCTGTATTGAGTGGACGTTATTAAACCCTCTCTCTCTCTCTCTCTCTCTCTCTCTCTCTCTCTCTCTTTCTCTCTCTCTCCCTCTCTCTGGTTTATATTGTTGTTTATCTGTAATTTAGGTTGTATAGGAGACGATGGCATCTGTGTTTTCCCAGGAGAGGGTAATTACACTGCCGAGGAAACGGATGGTGTTCAAAAGGAATATGAATGTTTCAGAGCTACCATCAGAGAAAACGCCTACTTAAAGAAAGTAGTTAGTAAGTATAGTCAGAGCTACAATAGTTAGTAAGTATAGTCAGAGCTACAATAGTTAGTAAGTATAGTCAGAGCTACAATAGTTAGTAAGTATAGTCAGAGCTACAATAGTTAATAAGTATAGTCAGAGCTACAATAGTTAGTAAGTATAGTCAGAGCTACAATAGTTAGTAAGTATAGTCAGAGCTACAATAGTTAGTAAGGATATCTATCTATATATTTGTGACTGTCGTTTGTCTGTCTGTCTGTCTGTCTGTCTGTCTGTTCGGGGTTGGCGGCTACACTAGGTCTGCCCCGAGTCTGAAATTTGGGGTATAGGGGTAGCTCGGACCGGGGAGTAACATAGGCCAGGTGGCGTTAGTCTACCACCTCCGGTTTCGGAGTTATGACCCCGAGCGAAGCCGGGTATCCTGCTAGTTATATATAAATACAGTTAGCTACAATAGTTAGTAAGGATACCATATATATGTAAACATACTCTGGTCGATTTGTTAAAATTTAGTAAGGAAAACAAAATGAAAATACCAACACTAGATAATCACCTGGATTGGATTCAATCGGATTTAAAAGATATTTCTGATATTTCTATTAGACATTCGTCTTGCACACTATTGCATATGAAGTTCATAAGGGATTCCTATGGCGCTAAAATCACGCTCAGTGTATTTAAGAGTGAGTAAGTAAGTTACAAATCACGTATAATTTCTAGCCACACTGAGCGTCCCGGTAGAACATAGATCGTATATTGCCTATATAGTTGTTCGCCGATCGTTATCTCGCCGGAAAACAGTTTTATTCAAGTTAACATAATGTTCATGTAATATTATGATTGTTATTGACTTTGGTATTACCTTTAGGTGAACATAATGTTCATGTACAATTCTGTTTTTGTTATTATTTTTTTGTGAATCTTTGGAGTACCTACTTAGTCCCATAGCGCCCCCTCCCTTACAGCCGCGCCTGTTTCTAGCTGAATGTTCCATATTTTACAGCTTGTATAGATGACGACGGGGAGCATCCAGTTGGTTACACCAAACAGTACAGAGAAAATTGCTACGAAAAAACTTGTGTGTCTGATTTTAAAAATGTATCCCAGATTTCTGGACAACTCTACGATGGATGGGTTTTTAGATATTATGGTAAAATATACATAGTTTCAATGAGATAAACATTCATATTCTATGGACTCAGATATTGTAAAAGCCTGGTATCAAGAGAGGGGTTTAACGCCCATTCCATACAAACCAGGTCAATCCGGGAGTAAACAAGTATGACCGCACTATGAACCAGGAACTGGCCAAAAATCTAATTCACAAAATCGATGCAATATTGTTCAAAGAAGTCGCATGCCAATTTTCATGTCGGCCGGATTGAGTCGTGGGCTTTTTCGAAGAGCGATATCCCAAGACGAAGAAGAACAAGAAGAACAAGCGATTAGCGACCACTTTGTAGTCCCCCAAAAAACCCGATACAGTTGTATTTTGATAATTTGAGAGGTGGGAAATATGAGGACCCGGATGAAACCCACGAGGTTACACAGGCAGCCTTTCTTGTCGCGCACCTGCTTGGGATCAAACCAGGCGACGGTAGACCCCCCCCCTCCCTCCATCCCCACCTCTCTACTCTCCTGTGCTTCCAGAATACAGCCAATTCCATCTGTATACGAGGGCTGGCTGAAACGTTCTAAGTCTGAAAAGGATAGATCAATGTGCTATACCTAGTCCGATGAGGATCGTAGCTAATGATATTTGTATACTTTCATCCTATCAGAAGTTTAGTAGACATTTGGTACGGAATAGTGACGCTATTGGGAGGATCGTTAGTAATCATTTAGAATTAGGGGGTAATAGTTGTCAGATGAGGACTGGGGGCTAACGATGTGTGTGTGTATGTGTGTGTGTGTGAGTGGATGGGGTGGGGTGTGTGCATAGTGCTGTACCTGGTCAGATGAGGACTGGGGCTAATGATGCGCGTTTGGAGGTGGGGTTGGGACAGTGTGCTGTACCTAGTCAGATGAGGGTTAGTGTTAATTTTGTATTGCATTTTGACTAATAATGTTCATTATAGGATGTGATTGGGGTGGAGAACAGTGTGCTTTACCTGGTGAGATGCGACACGAAGAGAAAACAGATCACTGTCTCATCACGTATTGTACACCAAATGATGCTTACACCACCCCGACATACGGGCTTTTCCCCGAGAAAGAACTCGAATCAAAGACTGATAAAGGTAAAGGATTAATCCAAGTTTATAACCAGCCTGGTTAAGAGAGAGAGCTGTTTTATTATGTATCATTTGTGTTTTATCATGTATCATGCATGTTTTGTTTTATCGTGTATCATGTTGTGTTTTGCCATGTATCATATTTTGTTTTATCATGTTTTGTGTTAACATGTAGCATGTTGAGTTTTATCACAGGGCGTTTTATCATGTATCATGTTGTGTTTTATCATGTATCATATTTTGTTTTATCATGTTTTGTGTTAACATGTAGCATGTTGAGTTTTATCACAGGGCGTTTTATCATGTATCATGTTGTGTTTTATCATGTATCATATTTTGTTTTATCATGTTTTGTGTTAACATGTAGCATGTTGAGTTTTATCACAGGGCGTTTTATCATGTATCATGTTGTGTTTTATCATGTATCATGTTGTGTTTTATCATGTTTTGTGTTAACATGTAGCATGTTGAGTTTTATCACAGGGCGTTTTATCATGTATCATGTTGTGTTTTATCATGTATCATGTTGTGTTTTATCATGGGGTGTTTTAACATGTAGCATGTTGAGTTTTATCACAGGGCGTTTTATCATGTATCATGTTGTGTTTTATCATGGGGTGTTTTATCATGCATCGTGTTTTGTTTTATCATGTATGATGTTTTGTTTTATCATGTATCATGCTGTGTTTTACCATGGACCGTGTTGCGTTCTATCATATATACTATTGTGTTTTATCAGAATGTAAAGATGAATCGGGCTGTCAAGTTAAAGGATATAATAAAACCAACCCAGCCGTACCGTGTTCTATGTTATCATGTGTTATAACATCCAGTCCCACAACCGGGGTCACAGCTTCATTTGCTACGCTTATAATAGGTGGGTAGTATATAGATTATAAATTCAACCTGTCATTGGAAGAGGGGTTTACATTATGTCTGTTGTCCAATCAGAGGTCGTGACACAAACACACTCAAATCAAACATGGAAACCATGACATTAAAAGAACCTTGAACTTTGCAACTCCGATTATCACAGTTAAACATTTTAGCTGGAAAGCGCGAGACTTGGTATTCGCGATGATATTTTCTATCGAGGAATCTGAGAGGATCCCAGCTGGGCCAGTAGGCAATCGCAATTAGTGACGAAGTATACAGGGTATTGCGTGCAGGTATTAATAAGACGTACGGGGTTAAAGCGAGGTCAAGCCTTCTATTAAAGATAGGTTTACATAGGCGAAGTGTGTTTCCTAATATATGAATTGGTTAGTTTACGTGTACCTCTAACTCTGACTTTTATAAAGCTCGCATACAGTGTGCGTGTGCCGTCACATCACACGGCGTCGATCTTAGGTATCGATAGCGCGTGCATTGTTTACGTAAGATGTAGTAACGTAAACTGGTCCGTACAGAATGGTTTCTATGACTCATTTTACGCCTTCGCGTATTATTTTATGTACCTATTTACACTATTTACACCATTTTATCCAGATATATTCCAAACAGCTTTCCTTTTATTTCTAAAACTTCAAAAAAATTTTTTAGAATGAAGTTTGCAGAACGAAGAAAGTTAATATTGTGAGCTAATTAACTCGCATCGATGGCGACAACCCTCTCAGTGATTGTAGCGGCCTAGCCAATATTTACTGCTGATTAGTTTACAGTCAATATAACTCTTATTTTATTTTTAGTCGGGTGTTCGATCCCTGCATCGGCCGAGAAAGTTCACCCAGATTTTCCGGCGTGGTTTCCCCTTGTCAGTGATGCAGGACGGAGGGCCCGAGAAAGACAGCTGTCTAGTCGTTCGGATGGGACGAAAAACGGACGTCCCGTGTAAACATTGGCGTGCACGTAAAAGATCCCTTGGCAGTTGGAATTCGATATAAGAGTAGGCCGTAGCGTCGCTGCCCGGGCAAATTTCCGTCATAGCACACTGTATGGCGAATGCCTGTCTTCATTAGCCCAGTTTAGGAGCAGAACAGTAGGACGTTAAACCCCATTTCATTTCATTTCATTTTATTTTTATTGTAAAGGTTGTGCAATGCAGGGAGGCGAATGTTTAAATATTGGTGACAATAGAACGACGAACACTGAAGGGTATTGTACTGTGTTCAGATGTGATGATAAGCCACCAGTCAATAATGTTATATCACCAACTCAAATCGTGCAAGGTAAGCCACAAATAATGTTATATCACCAACTCAAATCGTGCAAGGTAAGCCACCCGTCAATAATGTTATATCACCAACTCAAATCGTTGAAGGTAAGGCACAAGTCAGCCATGTTATATCACCAACTCAAATCGTTGAAGGTAAGCCACAAGTCAACCATGTTATATCACCAACTCAAATGGTGTTGGTTCGATCCCAAGCGTGTAGGGTTTCCCGTCCAACCTCCAGTTTTCTACCACTGATAAATTGAACCACGTCATAGTCCAGAAATGAGCTAATTTGCCTATACCGATTTTTAGGACTTCGAATTTTGTCTAATGGTTTAGATTGTTCGAACTTGGTTTTATTTTATTTCTGCATCGAGTTGACGTTAAGCCACATCTGTTTGTAGATTGTTAATCTAATGATGATATCTGTCATGATGCTGGACCGACTGTCAGTGATTATGATTTATATTTCCAGGTTGTTGGTCTAATGATGATATCTGTCATGATGCTGGACCGACTGTCAGTGATTATGATTTATATTTACAGGTTGTTGGTCTAGTGATAAATGTTATGATTCTGGTTCTATTATTAATAACGAAGATTGTAGTGAAAGTGTTTGTGAAGCAGGGTTGAGTCAGCCCCTTGAATGGAAAAAAAGAGATGCTTTCAGTAAGTTTGATAAATCGATTGTTGTTCATATAATCAACCCCATGGGTCGGAATGATAAATATATATAGACAATAACTATGGCTGTTGACAGAAAGGTCCGTGTCATTCTGTTTCATAGAGGTGATACGAAAACCATCGTTTAAAGGTACATTAGTTAAGAGTTTAATAAAGAGTTGGTCATTCTTACTATAATACTTCAAAAATAGATGATGAAAAAAGAAAATATTGAAAATTTCATTCAAATTACTTCATTCTCAGTCACGTTATCATTGTTTGTAGTTTTGACACGATGTGTGCACAGTGGTAACCAGGGCACTGGTATAATCCGGACTTAGCCTCGCTTTCCCATTTTTAAATTAAATTTTTAAATGGCGAACCGCTTTAATCTAGTTAAAATCTCGTGTATCCGATGCCATCCAGAGTCGATTATGGTCTTGTTTTGTTAATAAATGTCTAATTAATAGTTTATATAAGATTTTAGGCCTAACGAAAGTCCTGCAATAGGCAGATTTAGCTCTTGCATAGTGTATATTTAACAAGATGACTGACCCTTAAGAGCAAGCCCCGTATAGTTATGTTAAATATAAACTACACAATTAAATACCTGTCACCTGTTGATAGTCATTATTCTGACCCTAATCCCCCAATGATTCCAAAAAAACACCATTGCTCTCCTGTTTTGAACAATTGAATTTTAATTCAAGGCGTGCTCCTAAAATAGCTACGCCTCCTGCAGTTAAGCCTAATAGGCGTGTAGAATTGGGTTGATTAAGAAGGTCTGATATAACATTGCCTCAACAACAAATGGCGGTGCCCTAGTTAAATTCCCCCCCCCCCACTCAAATACATCTGCAAATAAAGTTCTCCACTGAAGGCACGTTGGTCGGCGTGAAGTTACCTTTCAAGTGGCATGGTGTCTACTCCAACGGTCGCTTGCAGGGTCCGTCAGATTCCTGCCACTGCTAAAAGATCTTTTAGCATGTGTGAGTCCCGAAATGACCCCCCCCCCCCCCATATCTCTCTCTCTCTCTCTCTCTCTCTCTCTCTCTCTCTCTCCAGGGACTTTATTATCATGCCATTATATCAGGGGGTATTTTGTTTGTTTGCTTCAGAGTGTAAAAGTGATGCAGGCTGCCACGGTATGGGTGATACAACATTTGACACGACTTTGTGCAAGCAGAGACAGTGTGGATTGGGTGGTATCTGGGCAATCATTAATTCAGGTAGGTTTAGATATTTAATAATTACGCTAAATAAATCACCTGTCACGGTCCATTCACTTACTACATACTCTTGGCAATGAAGACAGGCATACACCATACAGTGTGCTATTCGGGAAGTTTTGCCCGGGCAGCGGCACTATGGCCTACTCTTATATAGAATTCCAACTACCACGGGATCTTTTGCGTGCATGCGAAAGTATACACGGGACCTCGGTTTTTCGCCCCATCCGAACGACTACACAGCTGTCAGATCCTCTTTCCTGACCACTGACAAGGGGAAACCAGGTCGGAAAATCCCGATAAACTTCCTCGGTCAATACAGTGATGAACACGCGACCTTCTGGCTAGCGAGCCAGCGTCTTGCCCACTTAGCCGCCGTGGCGCCCTCTTTGAAAGATGATCTGCTGAAAATGGATACAATACAAAATAATAATGGATATCACTCAAACATAAATATCTAGGCAAATTATAGCAGTTTAGATACAACTCTAACTTAGGCCTATCGGTCACACTCAGAACATTGGGCCTGTATGCAATCGTATAGGCTTACCCAGTATTGAATGTAGTCATAATATAGATATGCTTGTCCAGTATTGAATGTGGTCATAATGTAGATATGCTTGTCCAGTATTGACTATAATCATACTGTAGATGTGTTCACTAGAGATTGATGGATATATTTCAATATTAACCTGGTTATTTTACAGGTTGTATACAAAACACCACGTGTGTACCACATGGTCAAGCTATAGATGTTGACGGTTGTACAGTCAGTGTCTGCTCTAACGGCCAATTTCTTCTCCAATATAAAGGTAAATACATTCTCACCAGGTAAACTACACTGTAATACCCTATTCTTTTTATGGTATATATATGGTAAATACATTCTCACCAGGTAAACTGCACTTATAGAGGTAATACCCTATTCTTGTTATGGTATATATATGGTAAATCATTATCACCAGGTAATCCATAAAAAGACAATAAACAACTCTCATCAGGTAAACTAGGCTAGGTGGTATCTATATAGGTAAACTATTCCCACCAGGTACACTAAACTAAACTATTTTTACCAGGTAAACTAGACTAGATAGTATCTATACAGTTAAAATATTCTCAAAAGGTAAAATATTCTCAACAGGTAAACTATTCTCACGAGGTAAACTGACTAGACTATTCTCATCAGGTAAAATAGACTTGATAATATCTATACAGATAAACTATTCTCACCAGGTAAACTAGACCAGATGGTACCTATACAGGTAAACTATTCTCGACAGGTAAATTAGACATGGTAGTATCTATACAGGTAAAATATTCTCATCAAGTAAACAACCTGCCCTCACCAGGTAAACTAACTTCGATTGGACGGACCTCGTGAACGGTAATGGTAACATCTCAGTAATCTGCAGTGGTGGCTCCACGACTGGATCCTAGCCACCAGCTATAGTCCGTTCTATGAAATATGTAATTTTGAGCTTTTTGTTGGTTGTGGTGATGTAGCTGATGTAATTGAGTGTTTTATTCCGGTCCAGGTACATACCACAAATCGTCATTCACACCCGATATTTTAAAAAGTTTATCGGAGGAGTCACAAGGCTTCCCAAAACAAAATACGTTGCTGGTAACTGTATTCTCACCAAGTAGACTAAGCCACACATTTCTCTCCGGGTAATCTAGACTAACGATGTACTCGCCAGGTAAATTAGATTATGTGATATTTATAAAGGTAACACCATTGTCACAAGAAAAACTGGACAACATGACGCCATTTTCCCCAGGTAAAATAACATACCCCAGGTAAAATAATTATTTTATTCTCCACCTGTCAAATGATCTTTACAAATAGAATTTCTACCCGGAAGTCCCTACATACTTCATAGGGATTTTCCGGCGTGGTTCGCCCATTGGCAGATGTGCAGGATGCAGAGACGGGCAGGGGACAAACTCTTTACATAATACAGATATTATATTCTATGACAATAATCTGGTCGTATTACAGGATGTTTTACAGACACAAATGGCTGTGTACCAGGTAATACAACATGGTATAACACGGCCACGTGTATGCGATACACATGTGATAATTACCCAATTCCATACGGTCCGTCAGCAGGTACAGCTCAACAAACACAAGGTAAATATTGATCTTTAGTCTATACTTTCTATAAGCCATATGCAGGGATCACTTTAACCTAGCGGGTCACGGTGGCTAAGTGGGTAAGACGCTAGTCTGGAGGTCGCGTGTTCATCCCTGCATTGGCCAAGAAAATTCATCCAGATTTGCGGGCGTGGTTTCCCTTTGTCAGTGATGCAGGACGGAGGGCCTGACAACGATAGCTGTCTAGTCGTTAGGATGGGAGGAAAAACCGTGGTCCTGTGTACACATTGACGTGCACGCAAAAGATCCCATCGCAGTTGGAATTCTATATAAGTGTCGACCGTACCGCTGCTGCCCGGGCAAAATTTCCCTCACAGCACACTGTGTGGCGTATGCCCGTCTTCATTTGCCCAGTTCGGAGCAGAACAGTAGGACGTTAGACTCCATTTCATTTCATTTCTTGTACCGGAACATATAAAGATCGTAATGTATGTTTAATTTGTATATCAGATTGTAAAGGACCAAGTGGTTGTATTGCTGTGGGTGATTTTATTGTTGACACCATCAGTTCGGAATGCACAAAGAAAACCTGTTTAGCATCGGGTCAGTTCACGGAAGAACCATGGGGTAAGATATACTAAAATTGGGGTATAAGGCTTAGATCTATTTGTTAAGACCAGCTCAATATTCGTCAAGGTCGCTGAGATGTAAATAAGGTTAGGGCGCATGGTTGTTGGCGAGATTGTAGGTTAGGATTAGTGTACGCATTAGTGCTAGGCCCAGGGTTAGGTTTAAGAATTGGGTTTGGAGTTAGCTCGGCTTACATCTCGTAAGGTCTGACCAAACTTGAAGTTGGCCTTCCTAAATAGATCTAACTGATAAACAAGGCACACTAAGACAGGATACGCGGATACCACGTGGGGACACTCAACATCGATTAGATCCCTATTCCATGAAACTATTGAACGAATCATGCAAAAACTATTGGGGAAGATACATCGGGGACAAAGGACACGATACATTGAAACTATAGGGAACGATACATCGGGGCCTAGCAGGAACACGATGCAATGAAACTATAGGGAACGATACATCGGGGCCTAGGGACACGATACATTGAAACTATAGGGAACATACACCGGGGCCTACGGACACGATACATTGAAACTATAGGGAAAGATACACCGGGGTCAAGAGACACGTTACATTGAAACTATAGGGAAAGATACACCGGGGCCTAGGGACACGATACATTGAAAGATTATTTTATTATTTCAGTATTCTATATATCAATTTAGTTATTTATTTGTTTTTTTCAGTGTGTCATGACAATGACGGATGCTATGACGTGGGTTTTACCAAGAATACCGAAGGATCGTGTGAGAGCTTTAGTTGTTTGGAAGTAAATAATGTTGTAGAATGGAAGAAATCGATATGGGGTGAGTATTGATCTCATAGATTTGAAATCGATATGCTAGAATTTGAACTCTATAACTATATTTCTATATGAATTGAAATCGATATCTTCTGGGTTAATAAATTATATTCGTAAAATACAATATTTGAGTTTATGTATTGTATCATGCCTAGGTGTAATTTCGCGGGGGGGGGGGGGGGGGGGTGGATGGCTGAATGGTTCACGTGCGCGCGCTGTGTCATAAAGTCTGTCATTGAGTCGACTGGCGTGGTTTCGAATTCCCGGTTGTACATGACAAGGAGTAGGGTCGCTTGTCCAACCCCGTGGGTTTTCTCCTGGTCCTCCGGTTTCCTCCCACTGCTAAAGACGCCAACGCGCAAGCGAATTATTGAAATAAAATTAAAAACCATATGTTAGTCCCGGAATGACCTAGTTTGTGTCGAGTGGACGTTAAACCCCATTCTCTCTCTCCCCCCCCCCCTCTCTCTCTCTCTCTGTCACAAAATTGGACCTTTGGTTCTTTTTGGGGCGGATTGACAGTCATGTACTTATAGTTCACATTAACAAAACACAGTATAATTTAAATATCTTTATATAACTACAATATAAGTCAATACAATTATAATATGTATATATATATATATATATTTATGTAATTATTCTCTAATAATATCACCGTCTCCACCGATTCAAAAGACCACTAATCACGTTTATATGTTGATGAGATGACGATTTGATGGTACACGCGCACACAGCAGTCACCAACCATTTGACTCTCCACGGCACATTTAAAAAGATGATTAAGATGATAAGGTTGATGAGTTATTCATTCGTGTATATCTTTTAATTACCATAAAATAACTAACTGGAACAATAACGACCAGACTAACAATATAGGTAACACTATCCGTAGCACATTAACATTATCAGAATCAGAATCACAATCACAATCACAATCAGGTCACAAGTAAATGTACTAATTATTGCTCATAATCACACAGATTACCATTATAACGACACACAGTCAAAACCAACGAGACACACAGTCTAACACCCATTTAGTTGAAATATCTTTACGAATGATTCATGAATGATATGATCAATGAATATGTGTGATTCTCCCAAAATCCATTATTAGAGTGACAATATAAATTCATATCTCCCACCACGTATACTACAGTTTCACTCACAACCAATCAAATCACGACAACAAAACAGGCAGTTCACATGCATTCAATGCAATCATATCTGCAACCAGACATGTGGATTACTCAACCTTGGCAAATAATAACTATCATACATCTTACAAATAACAATAAAATCAAATGTTTATAATCAAACTTTATTACCACAATCTGAAAACATGTTCACCAGTTGTCATAAACTGTAATAAACAACAATAACATATATACTATATTTATTAATGTACAAATACTTGTGACCTTGAAACATTCAGCAATACCAGCGTGAATATATATGTATTATTCAGTACATCCACGACAAACCACATTGTAACCTATCATTATCTAATAAAGATATTGTCATACGTGACACTCTCTAGGTGTAATTTCGCATATTATTATTATTATTATTATTCCCTTTTATCTGGTTTTGGAACTAATTTTTTATATTTCAACAAAATGCAATACCTTTGATGCCTAAAATGTGGGAATTAAAACTTGTAAACCTGATGAACTGGTTTCAAACACTGGGGCAACGAGGAGATCAGAATATAGTTAATTTGATATAATATATTTAGATAAAGCTCAGACTCCAATCTGATTAAAACACAGATCCTATTACGTTTTGGGTTTTTATAGTTCAAAATTTTGTTTTACTGGTCTTTACTACACTAGGATCTGGAAGAGGTGTTATATAACAGGTATTCTAGTTGATGTGAGGAATTAGCCAATGTAACGGTCTGTTAAGCTTGATCTTGTCGTACTCTGCATGGAAATGTGGGCCCTAGAAAAGTCAACGCTGGTAGATTAATCAACGTCTGACGTAATAGGGCCAAACCCGCTCGCCTGACCCCTGACGAGACCTCCCAGTACAACTGGCCAGATCTTCATGTAGTAGATGCTATCGAAAGTATAAAACAACGAAACGAAATATAGATCTGTATTTTAATCAGATTGGTCAAACTCCATCAATAACATTTAAGACGAGAGCTCGCCGACCGCTTTGAAAAAGCACCACCATCTATAATGTGTATGCTTCGAAATGAATTTGAAATATTTTTCATCTTTCTCTGTTGCATTAAGGTTGTGCCCATCTTACGGGCTGCATAGCGAATGGTGAAAATCGAACTGTCCAGGAAGGTTTTAGCTGTTCGACACAAGTATGTACCCTACCAGAAGATATTGATACGACGATCGGCAACAACCCAGGCGGTGTGCCTCCAGTACTACCGACAACTACTAACTCAGGTAATATTTTGATCATTGTCGGGCAGAGAGGTTGAGGGCCCCTTAGAAAGTTAGAAAATGAAATGAAATGGGGCGTAATGTCCCGCTGTTCTGCACCAGCTGAGCAGATGGAGACGGACATGTGCCATACAACGGGAACTTTTGCCCGGACAGTGGCACTACGACCTACTCTTATTTCGAATTAAAACTGTCAAGGTTTTTTTTGCATGCACGCCAATGTGTACACAGGACCGCGTTTTGTCGCCTCATCTGAACGACTATACGTTGTCCCTTGCACCACTGACAACGAGGAACCACACCCGAAAATCCCAGGGATCGAACACTTGACCTCCAGGTTAGATTGCCAACGTCTTACCGGATGCGCCACCGTCGCACCTTAAGCAATAGGAATCACTTGCAAACTACAAGTGTCAGTTCAAAAATGGTTAAATACCAGCACGACGCAACCGTCTTTATTAAAGGACAATATTGGTGTCAGTCATTTTCACATATGTGATAGAACTAATTAAACACGTTCCAAATATAATTTTAACACAGAGATCATGGCTACGATAGCTGAGTAATACAGGATTCCTGTGTTAAAATTATATTTGGAATGTGTTTAACCAGCTCTATCACATATGTGATAATGACTGGCACCAATATTGTCCTTTAAGAACGGAGAAACCGTATGGTCCTGGTTTAAATAAATCCAATTGAATCCTAGCCATGACATTATACTGTGTTGGTATTTTGATTTTTTGTAAATTAGATATTAAATAATCAAACTGGGTTAAGCGAAAAATGTAAATGGCGCATCGCGACTTTAACTGTGCCTAGAGAATGTGTTAAATTTAAATGAGGCATTGTGACTTTAATTATACGTAGAGAATGTAATATATTTAAATGGGGCATTGCGACTTTAATTGTACGTGGTATATGTGATAAATGTGATGATAAATGTGATAATAAATGTGATGATAATTGTGATGATAAATGTGATGATAATTGTGATGATAAATGTGACTAGTTTATTATATGTGTATTTAAGGTTGTTGGAGTGAAAACGTGTGTTATCCTGTCAATAGTGTCCTTGATTTGGGTCAGTGTCAGACGAAGAAATGTGAAGATATCGGAAATGGGGTGCTAGAATGGACAGATGATGCTTCACGTATGTTGGATATATATTCTTGTTGGTAATACCCTTGTCAAACCCCGTGGGGGGATTAAAGTGTGCAGTTTAGATCATGTAATCACGTGACACGGATTAGGGCCGCTTGTCCAACTGCTTGGGTTTTCTCCGGGACTTCCGGTTTTCCGTCCAATGCCACAGAAATTAAATGAAATGAAATGGATTTTAACGTCCTACTGTTTTGCTCCGAACTGGGCTAATGAAGACGGACATACGCCATACATTGTGTTATGAGGGAAATTTTGCCCGGACAGCGGCACTGCGGCCTACTGTTATATCGAATTTCAACTGTCAAAGAATCTTTTACGTGCACGGTTTTTCGCCCCATCCGAACGACTAGACAGCTTTCCTTGTCAGGCCCACCGTCCAGCATCACTGACAAGGGGGAACCACGTCGGAAAATCTAGATGAACTTTCTTACCCCCTTAGCCACCGTGCCCCCCCCCCCAATGCCACAGAACCCCATATGTGAGTCCCTATGCCACCTAGGATATGTCTAGTGGACGTTAAACCCCATACCTCCCTGTCTCTGTCTCTGTCTCTGGGTCTGTCTGTTTGTCATTTTATTCATTATTTAATTCATTCTTTTCATTTTATTCATTTTAGAATGTTACTTTGACGGAAAATGTTACCAGGATGGTGCTACAAGAAATGAAAACTCAACGTGTGCTATTCTGAATTGTCAGGGTAACGAATGGAAACCCTCAGGAGAATGTGAGTTATACTCAAATTATCATCATCATCCTCATCATTATCATCATCATCATCAGCTTCAACATCATCAACATCATTACCAACATCATCATTATCATCATCATCATCATCATCGACAACATAATCAAAATCATCAGCAACAACATCATCAACAACATCAATGTGATCAGACTATTCCAAAATTATATTTATCTATTTATAAATTTCTCATAAGGTTATTTTAAATGATGTTTAGAATGATATCGGCTCAATGGGTAAGATACTGGTCAACTAACCAGCGTTTAGGGTTCGATCACGGTTTTGACCGAGAACGTATGTCCGAATTTTACAGTTGTCAGTTGTACAGGGCGTAGGGCCTGGTAATGAACAATGTCTCGTAGTGGGAGCCACGGTGGATCTGTGAGTGGGGGGCGCGTGTTAACTCTCGGCGTTGACCGAGAAAATTCATTGGGTTTTTCTGGTGTTGTTTCGCGTTGTCAGTGGTGCAGGACTCGCCTGTCAAAGACACCTTTGGCGTTGACGTACAATATTCCTTGCAAGTCGGAATGCAATAAAAGAATAGTCTGTAGCGCCGCTATCTGAGCAACATTGTCCCATTATTACACCATTTTTATTATAGGGCTTATGGTCATCTTAATTATAGGGCGTATGTCCATCTTTATTATAGGGTGTATGACCATCTTTATTATAGGGCGTATGACCATCTTTATTATAGGGCGTATGGTCTATGGCCCATCTTTACTATGGGGCGTATGGCCATCTTTATTATAGGGCGTATTATCAACTTTATTATAGGGTGTATTACCATCTTTATTATTGGGCGTATTTCCATCTTTAATATAGAGCTTATTACCATCTTCATTTTGGGGTGTATGACCATCTTTATTATAGGGCGTATGTCCATCATTATTATAGGACGTATTCCATCTTTATAATAGGGCGTATTACCATTTTTATTATAGGGCGTATGGCAATCTTTATTATAGGACGTATGACCATCTTTATTAGCTCGGTCTTCCTTATCCCGGTTGGTGAAGAAAAGTAGGCCTATTAACCAACATTGCATTTCGTACATATTGGCGTACACGTAAAAGATCCCTTGGCCCTTATGCCACTGTCCGGGCAAAATATTCCTCATAGTACATTAAACCTCATTTCATTTCTTTTCAATGACATAAAGACGAAATTTATGGCAGCGTATCTATTAAATCTTTGTATTGTAGCACATGGATGTGGAAAGGGTGGTGTTTGTTATACAGAAGGGGATGTCATCGTGTCTGATGTGAATGAATGTATGGTAGAACTATGTGAAAATAACGCCTTGGTACAGCGATTTACAGGTAAGAAGTAAATAGTTACACGTTTTCAATTAATTAGAATACTATGGAAGACCAAATAGCTCATTATTCAGTGTTCTTAGTAATTATTTCTTAATTCATAGTCCTTAATTCTTATTTCTTCATTTGTTTTCGTATTTCGACATTTGTACTCTAAAATTAACATTTGTCGGGATGTAAATATGCTATGGGAACTCTATAGGAGCCGCCCACTGGGGTGTCACCATGGTATCGGGAGAACTATACTATATAAGGACTTGTCGTGTCCCTACAGGAGTCCGCTGTGTCGGGGGTGGGGTGGGTGTTGTTGTAACTGTGCTATCAGGACTCTCCGTTTCTCTAGAGGTGTCCAGTTCGTCGGGGCGGGGTTGTAACTATGCTATCAGGGTAACTATAGGGACCTTTCGTTTTCTAACAGGGGTCCACTATGTTGATTTGGCAGCAATTCAAATATCATGTACACAAAATATGTTATGTTGAAAAATATCCCTGTTACAAAACGGAGGGGGTGGGGGTGTTAACCTGTGCGCTTTAGATCGGGTGGTCTAATATTGAGTCAAGTGGCGTGGGTTCGATTCCCCGCTTGTACGTGACAAGGAATAAGATCGCATGTACGATCTTCTTGTGTTCCCCCTGTCCGGTGGGAGTGGGCGGGGCGTCGGGTTGCTACGCCATCGGGATCAGGTGCTTAGAATTAGAGTAATGCTAGATTCCCACTATGACGATTCACGCTACGATTCAAATCGTGGTTTTAATCGTGGGGGTTATCGTGGTTATCCTATCAGGTCTTATTTAAAATAGAGATGTGACGTCATCCGTTGATGTTGGCGTACCATTATTTCCAATAATGTACGGGCAACTTGCCAATCGTACATTATCTATACTAGATGAAATATTGGTCGCGTGACGTATTTCATAGAAAAGCACGTGCGGGATAGTGTCTGTACTTTAAGTTGTTTAATGGTCTCGAGCTAAAGACATTGCGCAGTATATTGAAACAACACTCGGCTAACGATTCGTCCCGCATCAATATATTACTTAATGTCTCGCTCTCGACCATTAAACCATACATACTGAGGTCAGTCGTAGGAATCTGTTGATCGTATCTGCACGTATCAGATCGTGGACTCAATGGGGACAATCCTATCGTAACGTATCACACGACAGTGGAAACCTAAAATTACAATGTTAGAGTGTTTATTTTGAAATATCAATAGGTTGTTTCGGTCCACCCAGCAAACGATGCTTATCAACTAATGAAACGTATGTTGATGAACAAACATGTTCTACTTACCATTGTACACCGAAAAAAGAAGTATATTTTTTAATTCCACCAACACCGATAACAGGCACAGGTTAGTAAATGTATTGCCCCCATAAACATCGGTTCGCATATTGCGTCTAGAAACATAATTTTGTAGGTGGGCTGGGTTAGTGCCCGTTCAAATATAGCAAAGGGTATTCAATTTCTCTCTCTCGTTGATTGCAGGGTACAGTCTTTGGCAGTCCATAGCCAGTGCCGTATTTTGACGAAGGGCGTCCTCCTCTCCCTTCGCAATTAAATAATTTTTCTCTCTCGTTGATTGCAAAGTACAGTCGTTGGCAGTCCGTTGACAGTGCCGTATTTTGACGAAGAGCATCCTCCTCCCCCTTCGCGATTATAGGAAGCTGAAAGAGCATCTAAATACAATTGAACAAAGCCGGGGTTCATGACGGGTGTTTAAAACTAAAATGCGCGTAAGAAAGGTATAAGATATATCTTGGCCTGAGGTCCCCAGATCTTGAGACTCTAGGCTTCAGTCTGTCTAGGCTAAATGTATAAATAAACGCTCATTGTCACTGACTTTAATCACGAGAAATCCCCAAAAGGGGAGAGGAAATCCCACGAAACGCCTGAAAATAAAACACGTGAGGAGAAATCCGGATCTGCCTTTTATCAAGTTATTATTTTATTTTACTAGGGTGCAGCGATACCACTGGATGTCATACAGTTGGTTTCCAATCTGAGCTAATTCCTCAGACATGTTCTCGTTCCACGTGTACATCCGGGGGCAATTGGGTTGATGTCAAGACAGGTAAGAATTGCGCCATCATAATTAATTATAATTTCAGATGTAGCGTAGATTGTTTATTATCGTAGCAACGGTACTGGACAAACGAGACTAAGTCTCGATTATCAATTTGATCGTTTAATTTGATCCATTAAAGTCTCTGCCATCAGATGGTCTAGAGAGTTGATTATTGGCTTGTCATGTTAATAAATGTCTAAATAATAATTTAAAGAACATTTGAAGTCAAAATAAAAAAAATACAAATTTTTCTCTAACATAATGCATCTTTTAATAACATAGCAAACCCACTCTTACATTATGCATCTTGAAGGTAAACACGTCATTTAAACATATATTCTAAATATCCGTGATATTTTGAGGTTTGTGGATTGATATTTGGTAAATCACTAATTTTAGCAAACTGTGATGATCTGATTTGAAGTTATCTGATTTTAATACAATTAATTTAACAATCAAACCAATCTGATTAAAACACAGAGCATATTTCGTTTCGTTTTTATAGTTCAACATTTCCTTTTACGTGTCTTTACTACACTAGGATCATTGACGCGTTCTGGATGATGTGAGGGTTTTGCCAATGAAACGGTCTGTTACAGCGAGCTTTTGACGTGTAGTTCATTAGAAACATCAATGCTGATTGGTTGATCAAATGTCTAACGTCATAATATCAAAAGCCGCTCGTGTGACCTCTGACACGACATATCACTACAACCGGTCATATCGACATGTTGTGTAGGCCATCGAAAGTATATATAAAAAAACGAAACGAAATATAGATCTGTATTTTAATCAGGTTGCAATCCAACTTCTTAGCCGCACGTGTCTTCGTTATGACTTTAAAAGACAATATACCGTTTATGACGTGTAGCGCATGGCCAATTAGACTGTTTATGACGTGTAGCGCATGGCCAATTAGACTGTTTATGATATTGCAGCATGTGAGAGTGAATCTATGTGTCATGAAATTGATACGTTACAGCCAGTTGAAAGCAGGGATCCAACTTGTTTCAGAAGAAGATGCCGATTTGAAACTAATTCCGGATCTACGTTTCCGGAACCAGTATGGGAATTTGTCCAGTTTGGTAAGCGAACTAGGAAACGTTCTCTCTCTTAATGCTCGGTCCTCGCTATGTAGCTTTGCAATGGGGTTTAACGTCCTGCGATTCTGGTCTAATGAAGGCGGGCATACACCATACAGTATGCTATGAGGGAAATTTAGCATGGACAGTGGAGCTACGGCCTATTCTTATTTCAAATTCCATCCGAACGACCATACGTTGTCCCTTGTCATACCCTTAGCCCTGCTCTACTGATAAGGCGGGAACCACGCCGGAAAAGACCTAGGAACTTTCTCGGCCAACACAGGGATCGAACACGGGACCTGCAGGTTAGCGAGCCAACGACTTACTCACTGAACCACTGTGGCTACATAATATGAAGGGATGGCCGAATGGTTAACGGGTGCTCTTTGCATCATAAAGTCTGTCATTGAATTCAGTAGCGTGGTTTCTATTCTCCGGTTGTATGTGACAAGGAGTAGGGTCGCTTGTCCAACCTTGTGGGTTTGTGGCGAGTGCACGCCCCCCCCCACCCATCCCTCTCTCCAAAACATGAAGGCAACGTTGTGCCCAGTGTAAATGGTGTATTATTGATAGTATCTCCCTAAATCCGTATGTCGCCTATATCGTTTATCAAATATCATTAACACAGATATATTTTTACATGTGGTGCACTTTGAGATTGACAATTTACCCGGTTGTCCTTTTGTTATCTCTTTGTAATATCACGTGATAGGTTGTATCTATGGAGACAACTGTATGACGTATGGTTCAAACCTCACATCTCAGACTGGTCAGGAAACATGTCATCACGTGGTATGTTCGTCACAGGAGAGAACATGGAAGAGCGAAGAAAATGCGACGAATCTGGTGCAAGGGATTGTTCAGTATCAGGGTAAGTTAATAGTAATTTAAATGGGGTGGGGGTAACTGTGTATTTAAGCGTAGTGGTATGTCTTGGTAAGTTTAGTACAGGCGCATGTCCAGTGGGGTTAGAGAGTCTTCCCTGCTCATACAGAGCACGTGATTTTATCTCCCAACATTCATGGAATTAACGTCAAGCCAATAACCGTGTAAAAGTTTGCGACTGTTTTGGTCTTGCTTCACTTCAATCCTATACATCTAAATGAACAGACATTTTGTCCCAGAGCTTCTGATTTTATCACATTTCTCGGATTATCAACTATGCCTTTTTTAATCCATGAAGAATGGCATTTAGCAATTAGGCAGTAGGCACAATAACACCCCCCCCCCCAAAAAAAAAAAAAAATCAACACAATTTATATGGAAAACAGTCACTGATTTATAAAAATATAGCATGACGTTTCGACAAGTCTCCTCTATGATAAGACTTGAAAACGATAAGGGAATACTTGCCGAAACGTTGTGCTATATGTGTATAAACCAGTAATTTTTTCCGTATAAATTGTGTTTTTAATGTACCTATTTTGTTTGTTATTAATATTATTTTGTATTGTTATTAATATTATAGGATGTTATTTGTATTATTTTGTATTGTTATTTATATTATAGGATGTTTTTTGTATTATTTTGTATTGTTATTTATATTATAGGATGTTATTTGTATTATTTTGTATTGTTATTTATATTATAGGGTGTTATTTGTATTATTTGTATTGTTATTTATATTATAGGATGTTATTTCGAGGATAAATGTTACAGTAGTGGGGCGATGATTTTTGACAATGAGTGCTCGAATATCACTTGTATGGAGACCTCGACTAATACTTATCAATGGGACCGATTTACATATTACGGTAAGTTTAATCTGTATATATATATATATATTACAGGGTGTATAATATGTATTGTGTGTACTGAGATGTATATAATATGTGTCTTGCATTTGTTGTAATCGGTGTGTAATAGATACATTGTATTACACAGTGGTATTCGTGTGTATTGTGTATATTGCAGTGAGTATGTGTATATTGCAGTGAGTAGTGTGTATATTGCAGTGAGTAGTGTGTGTTGTGTGTAGTGCAGACAATACTGTTTGTTGTACATAGTACAGTTTGTATAATATGTATTTTGTATAATACAGTTTTTGTGTGTATTTTGTATATTACAGTGCGTAATATGTATTTTGTATATTACAGTTCTTTTTTGTATAATACAGTGGGTATTTGTTGTATATTACAGCATTTTGTATATTACAGTATCTGTGTGTGTGTGTGTGTGTGTGTGGGTGTGTGTGTGTGTGTGTGTGTGTATTTTGTATATTACAGTCTGTGTATTTTGTATATTACAGTTAGTGTGTGTATTTTGTATACTGTAGTCTGTATAATGTATATTTTATATATTACAGTGTTTGTGTATATTTCGTATATTGTACTTTGTATATTAGAAAGTGTGTGTATTGTGTATAGTTTACTGTGTGTGATGACTGTTTTTCAGAGAGGGCGTATTTGGTATAATACTGTGTATGTACTGTGTATAAGAGTGTGTATTATGTGTATTCTGTGTATCACAGTGTGTATTATGTGTATTCTGTATATCACAGTGTGTGTACTGTGTAGTTGATGTATACGAGTGTACATTATGTGTATTATGTGTATCACAGCGCATGTACTGTGTAGTTGGTGTAAAAAAATGTGTATTATGTGTATTCTGTATACTACTGTGTGTGTATTTTTTACCTTACAATGTGTGTAATGTGTATTTGGTATATTACACGATTAGTGATGTGTATTTAGTATTGTCGGTGTGTATAATGTGTAATTTGTATATTGCATTGTGTATGATGTGTATTTTGTATATTACAGTGTGTGTAGTGTGTATGTAGGTGTGTAATGTGTATTTTGTATATTACAGGATGTAGATATGGTGGTGAATGTTTCAGCCCAGGTGTAAAATGGGTAAATGCCAATGGATTACAGTGTACATGTTACCGTGGTCTTGGGCCAGTTTGTGCATAAACCAATTAAATATTGTAAAACCAAATCAGAGATAAATAAACTATGTCACTTTATTCTCCCTTTGTAGTCTTTAGATCAAACGCAGTTGAAAATTATTCAATGGGGTCCTACTGTTCTGCTCCGGCTAATAAAGACGCAGTCTGATTAAAACATGGATCCTATTTCATTTCAATTTTGACAGTTCGAAATTTCGTTTTTCTTGTCTTTACTACACTAGGATCGGGAAAAGTTGTTATATAACCAGCGTTCTGGATGTTGCTATGGATTAGCCAAAGAAACGGTTTGTTACGGTAAGTATTTGACGTAAGGTGCATGGAACTGTGGGTAACCCACTAGAAACATCAACGCTGATTGCTTAATCAAATGTCTGACGTTATAGGGTCAAAAGCCGCTTGTTTGTCCTGTGACAGTATTGGTCTTTATATCAAGTTCAGATGACAAGACTAGTTTCAGCTTCTATTAATACTTTTATTCTGCTTCTAACATATTATGTACAAACATCGTAATGTTAAAGACACCCAGAACTAAATTACATTAGTTGGCCGTTGTCCGGTCTTAACTCCAGACCGGCGTGGCCTGGAGTTAACTACCAGACGTCGCCTAGCCTCCGACTGCTCACATGTCCTGCCTGGACCTCTCTCTTATGCCGTTTCATTCTGGGGTTTTAAACCTTTCTACACACAAAGGAATCTCAATAGGCATCTGGCTATAATGTATCATGTTTCATATCAGTTAACGTTCAGTATAGTTTATCAGACAAAGAAGTAAGATAAGACATGCCATCAACAAGTTAAAATTACATAATGACATAAGAAATGCTACCAAGATCTACAGGGGTCGGCAGGTGGATTTGATATTCAAATTACTCTCACATGTCAAGCTGGCAGGGAGCACAACATGTCATTTTGTAACAGTCCTCTGACGCGACCTTCCACTACAACCGGTCAGATCTTCATGTAGTGTAGGCCATCGAAAGTATAAAAAACGAAACGAAATATAGATCTGTATTTTAATCAGCTTGATAAAGACGGGAATTCATAACACAGTAATAAAGTGAAATATTATGTGATTCTGACCACATCATAATATCTAGAAAAACATTCAATAACTCTGTTAATACATCTACCAACCGGTTGTGGTTTATAATAGCTATCAATATGCCAAACACCGTTGAGTCCTTGGTTAAAGTTGACCCTTGGGAAGAACTGAAATGAGTTTAACGTCCTACTCATTTAAAGACGGATGTACACGTCAAATAGTGTGCTATGAGAACTATGAGAAACATTTTGCCCAGACAGCGGCGCTATAACCTACTCTTATATCGAATTCAAATTTACGTGCACGTAAATGTGTTGACTCTCTGGGCCACCTTTAAAGTGTTCATCCAGTACTGTATGATTTGTTTTCTCAAAAAGCCCAACCGCATTTATAGTCGTTGATTAGGATTGATACCCCGTCCTTATAACTGGCTCGCTAGTCTGGAGGTCGCGGGTTCGTTCCCGGTGTTGGCCGAGGGAGTTTATTGGAATTTCCTTTTGTCAGTGGCGCACTCGTTCGCATAGGGCGAAAAACCGAGGTCCCGTGTACACATATTCATGCAGGTAAAAGGTACCCTGGCAATTGGAATTAGATATAAGAGTAGGCCATATGCCCGTCTTCATTATCCCAGTCGTAGCAGAACAGTAGAACGTTAAACCCCATTTCATTTTCTTCCACCTCAAATTGACTGGTCTGGTTTGTTAAAAATGAACGGGACATCATCATTACTTAAAATCAGATTGTACTGACCTTTTCACGTCACGTTTAACATGATAAATAGCGTTATCTCCCTTTGACCATGTTCCGTTCTCAGCGGATATATCTGCTTGATAAGGCTAACTTCAAGTTTGGTCAAAAGTCACGAGATGTAAACAGGGCTAGTACTAATCCCAACCCTAACCCTGGACCTAGCCTAATGCTTACCCTGACCATAATCTACAATTACGTGCCCTTACCAGGGGCGGATCCGGGAATTTTTGCAGGATGGGGTTTGAAAGGCTCCTGTTAAGGAAATTTGATAATTGACAATGCATGATGCTATCATAGTCTCTAAATTACATAGGCATATACACACATTGAGAGAAATCCAACATCCCGTTTGATGTCAATTTTTATAATGAATTAATAGGTTCACATTTTTTCGGGATCACATTATTTCGGGCCAATCCCATCCCACCATCTGATGATAAAGCATAAAGCACACGACTGTTACACAATTTCATTTATGTAGCTGAGGACGGTAGGGTTTGGGCCCTCCAACGCCCCCCCCCCCCTATGGAACCGCTCCTGCTAACCTTTTTTACATCTCCGCGACCTTGACGAAAATTGAACTGGCCTAAACAAATAGATTTAGCCGTTCTCAGCGAATTCTTGCATTAATAGAACAATACAGATAGCCGCAAATTATCTAACAAACTCCGGGGGACTAGGGGAGTTGGATGGCCGAATGGTTAGCACGTGCGCGCTGTATCATAAGACCTATCATTGAGTCAACTAGCGTGGTTTCGAATCCCCGGTTGTACGTGACAAGGAGTAGGATCGCCTGTCCAACCTCGTGGGTTTTCTCCGGGTCCCCCGGTTTTCCCCCACTGCTAAATACACCTACGCGCATGCGAATTATTGAAATAAAATTAAACCATATGTTAGTCCCGAAATGACCTAGTTTGTGTCGAGTGGGCATTAAACCCCATCTCTCTCTCTCTCTCGCCTCCCCTCTCTCTCTTTCTCTCTCTGTGTCAGTGAGCGTATCGATTTATACCGTTGCCAGCACCCCCCTGTAAAGAAAATGAAATGGGGTTTAGCGTCCTACTGTTCTGCTCCTAAACTGGCTAGGGGATCACGTGGCTAAGTGGGTAAGACGCTAGCTCGCTAGCCTGGAGGTCGGGTGTTCGATCCAGATTTTCTGGCGTGGTTCTCCCTTGTCAGTGATGCAGGACGGAGGGGCTGACAAGGAAATGAAATGAAATGGAATGGAGTTTAACGTCCTACTGTTCTGCTCCTAACCTGGGCTAATGAAGACGGGCATACGCCATACAGTGTGCTATGAGGGAAATTTTGCCCGGACAGCGGCACTACGGCCTACTCTTATATCGAATTCTAACTGCCAAGGGATCTTTTACGTGCACGCCAGTGTACACGGGACCTCAGTTTTTCGTCCCATTCGAACGACTAGACAGCTATCCATGTCAGGCCCTCCGTCCTGCATAACTACTAACAAGGGGAATCTAGTGCAGTAAAGAACACCGTGAATGGTATCCATACAGCTGTTTGTGAGTAGTCAGGGGGGCCTGTATCCATAAAGCTGTTTGTTATTATAATGTTCGTTCTGCAACCAAAGATAAGTGGACATAAATACCCTGTTATCGGGATTGGTTCGTGAGACTTGAATAACACGCAAGCAAATCAAAATTGATATTGTCCGCACGGAGTCAGATATGCTTGGTCTTACCGGAATACCAAGTCGATCACCTTATTCATTTCTTAGTATTATTCGTTGTGTCATCAAAGTTTAATGGACATTAGCATCATCTGTCAGGTATGATTGGTCTTTCCGGAACACTACTTATCATCTTTACTTAGCAGTAATGGCGTCGTCCACAGAGTCATGCATGCTTGCTAGTTCCGGAACACAACGTATCACTTTATTCATTACTTAGCAATAATTGTGTAGTGCACAAGGCCAGGTATGCTTGCTAGTCCCGGAACACCACGTATCATCTTTACTTAGCAGTAATGGCGTCGTCCACAAGATCATGCATGCTTGCTAGTTCCGGAACACCACGTATCACTTTATTCATTACTTAGCAGTAATTGTGTAATGCACAAGGCCAGGTATGCTTGGTAGTCCCGGAACACCACGTATCAACCTAACAAATAATTCTACTACATTTTGTACGAAAACACAAAAAACAACAACCAAAACATAAAATGTATTATAATTTTTTATTCTCTTAAATAAGGGCTTTCAAACTCAAATAATCAGTACAAAGACTTTTCGCATTCAAGGAATTCAAACGTTCGACCTCTGAAAAGATAAAGAAAACATGATATAACGTCTAGTCGTTCGGTTCGGATAATAAACTGAGGACCCGTGTACACATTATCGTGCTTGTAAAAATCCGTTGACAGTTGGAATCCGAAATAAGAGCAGACCGTAGTGCGGTTGTCCGGGCATAATTTCCCTCATAGCAGACTGCATAGCGCATGCCCGGCTTCATTAGAACGTTTCCCTAACAATAATGGTGTACGCCATCTTCACGGTATCACGTCAAATTTGTATTTTAATGCGCGATATTAATATTATAGATGTTTAATACGGCGCGATATTAATATTCTAGATGTTTAATATTGCGCGATATTAATATTCTAGATGTTTAATATTGCGCGATATTAATATTTTAGATGTTTAATATAGCGCGATATCAATATTTTGCGTTCATTGTACTTACTGCGAATTGACATTGTAAAAACTGTATAGCGCAGTTAGATAATAATTCAGCGAAATTTTGTGTTCAAACATCTGACCAACTGAATTTACCGTGGGACGCCATCTACATTTCCTTGTGCCTAAAATACAAAGTATAGAAGATAAAACACAGATCCTATTTCGTTTCTTTTTTTATAGTTCAAAATTTCGTTTTGTTTGTCTGTACTACACTAGGATCTAGAAGAGTTGTTATATAACATGCGTTCTGGATAACGTGAAGGATTAGCCAATGAAACCATCTTTTACGGCAACCTCTTGGCGTGCGATGCACGGAACTGTGGGCAAACCACTAGAAAGGTCAGCGCTGATTGATTAATCAATGTCTGACGTCATAGAGTCTAAAACCGCTCGTACAATCCCTGACCTGACCTTCCAGTACAACTGGTCAGCTCTTCATTTAATGTATGTAGTGTAGACCACCGAAAGTATATAAAAAACGAAACGAAATTTAGATCTGTATTTTAATCAGATTGAAATAAGTCATAATCTTATGGCTATGTGCCAATCCATGAGGTTGAACAGGAGGCC